CCACTCTATTAATAGTTCCTGGCCTTGCTTAGCTTCTAACTTTCAGTTAGAACTTCCAGTGCTTCAGGAAACACTGTTAGTAACTTTTCTTAACTCTCCAACTCTTCAGTTCTTTACTTCCCCAATTAACTCTTATAATAACTTCCCTACTGTATAATATTCATAGTAGTTCTGTTTTCTTGATGGAACTCTGATATTGTTATTGGTTATTTTGGCTATTAAAGTGTACCAAACTATCCCAAAACTTAGTGGTTTGAAACAACCAGTTTATTATTTTCATGATTTTGTGGGTTGACTGGACTAACTTAGGTGGCTCTTCTGGTCTTACTCAAAGTCTGATAATTATGAATGGAATCATCTAGAGGGTTGACTTGGAATCTGAAATAGTTAGGTTGTTTCTTTCTGCCTATAGTCTTGGAACCTCTCCATCAGCATAGCTGAATTTTACACATGGGCTCCCAAGAACACAAAAATGGAAGCTTTCATAATCCCTGCTCAGTTCAGTCGCTCAGTCATGTTCAACTCTTTGTGACCCTATGAATCGCAGCACACCAGGCCTCCCTGTCCATCACCAACTCCAAGAGTTTACTCAAACTCATGTCCATCTAGTCGGTGATGCCATCCAGCCATCTCATCCTCTGTCATCCCCTTCTCCTCCTGCCCCCAACCCCTCACAGCATCAGGGTCTTTTCCAATGAGTCAATTCTTTGCATGAGGTGGCCAAAGTATTGGAGTTTCAGCCTCAGCATCAGTCCTTCCAATGAACACCCAGCTACATCCTACTAATTAAAGCAAGTTATTGGACCAGCCCAGGCCAAATTTGTGAAGGACCTACACAAAGGCTTAAATAAGAGGTCTTTATGAATCTTTGAAAACAGTTTCCAAATGCCAAAGCTAGTTTTGGAAACTAGCTACTATACTTTTTTGTTTGACCTCACTTTAATGTTAACTCAAGACGTGCTTTGTGCTTTTCTGAATCTCATTTTAGGGTTCTGTTATGGTGACTGTTTATCAGACACTATGGTTTGGGTCCCACCATCTGCATGTGCTCTGTTAGATGACTCTGACCTGCAATTCCTGTCATCACTAGTAACATGAATTAGGAGGACAGAAAGGGAGTTCCCTTCTGACTGATTTGGAAGGATTGTGAATATATACCACCCCTCAGTATTATATCTTTGGACAGATTCCTGAAGGTAGATGGAGTATACTTTGTGGCACTGCTGACTGCCCACCTCCAGGGGCAGTAGTCAGTTGTGTGGTTTTTTTTTTTTTTTAATTCAGAAACTCTGAAGTCATTTGAGACTCTGAGGTTGGTTCTAAGGCTGCCCTGTTTCACATAGGGCTGTCTGTTTTCCTGTACTTGGGAAAACCTATATTTATTTTCTGTAGCTAGGTTCCTTCCCAGAGGCGATAGTCCTAAGCTTCTCTTTCCAAACTTCATATTTTTTTGTGATTAACTACATCAAGTATTAGATCATGAATGTTGCTGTATGGCTATAATGGAAAGTCTGTACAGAGATTCCATATTACATGTGTTATTACTAGTTTAACCTGGATTATAGCTGGTGCTGGCTTAGTGGACATTTACACTTGCACAGAGCCCCAAGCTTAGAAGACCCTGCCCTTTGTTTAGTGCTTTGCTGTTGCTATCTTAAATTTCATAATTGTTTTTCAACTGAGGCCCTCTCATTCTCATTTTACTTTGGGCCCTACAAGTTACATCGGTGATCTCAACTACACCACTGGTTGCCAACACAGAACTTCAGGCTTTGATCATCTTCTTTGCAATAGTTCAAGTGTTCTATATTTACCCCTCTCAAACCTCCTCCACATTTCCCTGTTTATTCAGAACCACTAGCACTGGTTGAGTTGGTGCCAGCTCACTGGAGGAACAGAGTGCCAACAGATTTTCTGCCTCAACAGCTCAGGCAGGCCCCAGCATGCCTATATGCAGAGCTCATGTTCCACTGAGTGTCATGAGCATAAATCAGAACATCTCACTGATTGAGGACTTCCCACTTTCCTCTGATTTTAGATTTCTGCACTTCTCATTTGAACCACAGCACCCTTCTTGTCAATCCTGCCACTCAGACCAAAGGAATTATGCCAGGTCAAAGTCTGGTCTGTGTTTGAAGATTGTTAAAGATGACCCCCAAGCTCACCTTATTTGGCTTGCATTTTGGTTTGCTTCCAAATCAGTGAATTGTTGTTGTTTAGTCGCTGTCATGTTTAACTCTTTTTTGTAACGCCATGGACTGTAGCCCACCAGGTTCCTCTGTTCATGAGGTTTCCCAGGCAAGAATATTGGAGTGTGTTGCGATTTCCTTCTTCAGGGGAATCTTCTCAGTCCAGGAATTGAATCCTCATCTCCTGCATTGGCAGGCGATTTTTTACTGCTGAGCCACCTGGGAAGCCCAAATCAGTGATAAGAAGGCAAATGATGGATGGTCATCTTCATATCTCTCCAGTCCTCAGGGAGCGGAATTTTGGTGGTAAAATTCCCTTTGCAACACGAGAAGAAAGAAACAATAAGCCTATAAACTTGGACTGATGTCTGCCTACTCTCTTGAAGCCTACTCTCTTGAAGCCAAATTCTTTTAGCATTATGTTGTTTTATTAGTTTTTTCTTCTTTGTTAGGACCTCTGTAGGCATGGTCATGGCCTGCTACTTAAATCTGCTTTCTTCAAGCTACATTCTCTCTTTAATTGATCTAATCATTACTATGGTTTTAATCCATCTATATGCTGAAAACCATAAACTGTGTATCTCTATTTAACAACATTTATTCACAGGCTACCTAAATGTAAATATCCAAACAGCTCTTTATTCCTTTTATTAAAATTCTCTTTTCCAAAAATCTTCCTCATCTCAGTAAATGACACTTCTGTTTGCCCATAGTTTTAGTTAGAAACTTGGGATTCATCCTCACATTCCCTCCTCTTTATCTCCCCCATACAGTCCATGACCATATCTTCTCTATTCCACTTAATTTTATTTTCAGTATGTTCATTTTCCCCTATTCTTCTTCTTTAAGCCAAAATCATTTCAAACCCAGGACAACTGCTATAGCTTTCTCATAGGACATTTCCTCTCATGTATTGTAGATTCCCTTTATACACAGAAACCAGAGAACGGTTTTGAAATGTAAATTAGAGTACACTTATAGATCATCAACAACTTCTTCTACACTTAGAATGAAGCTCAGACTTTCTTCCATAAGCCTCAGGCCCTTCAGAATCCATTGGAGAGTGTATCTTGAGCATCATTTTTGAAATTAATCAAATGTAGGTTTTGGAATCCATCTTCGTCTCAGGCTCTATGACTCTAAATGATGGAAAAATATTTTATAAACATTTATTTTTCTTTATTTATCGGAAAACAAGGGCAGTATATAACAGCTTCACTAATTCTTTTCTAAAATAAAAGAAAAGCATACAAGGACGTATGTATTTTTAAGGTAAAAGGCATAGATATTTGTTTATATTGGGATGAAATAGGAAAAAGTCATGATATGATAGGTGGTGACTGTATTGTATGCTAGAACATTCAATTTCCATAAAGTGCAATAAACATTACATTATTTTGTAGATATTTAGAGGATACAATGTCACCAATACTTAATAGGACCAAGATCAAATTAATTTTCCCCCAAATATTGCTCTTTTCATTCTGACACTTGTATTTTTACTATTCACATAGACAACTTTAACATGTTGATAAAGTTTGAATTATTATTCCAGAAAACTTTTGTATGAAATAACATTCAACCAGACAGCAAGAAGAAAAAAGAGTTTTATTTATCACTATGTGTTGCTGTCCTTTAATGGACCGGAAGTTGGTGGTCTGGAGTCGACAATAAGAAAGTGAAAGAAGGAAAGAGACTAATATTACCTGGGTTATGCAGAAAACCAATAAAGCCCTAGAACAGGGCTTGTACCGCTCACAAAGGCATAGGGCATCCTCTCTAGGAGGTCTTGAAAACCCGGGCAGGAAAGTGAGCTCAGCAGGTTTCCACTCCTCAGAGAACTTAATCAGAGAGAGAGAGAGAGAGAGAGAGAGAGAGAGAGAGAAAGAAGGACATGGGGATCCAAGTCTCTAGTGCAACAAGGGTGCTTTATTGAACACTGTGTGAATATATATACTGTTTTACAAGGTAGCTTCTTCAGCAAAGATAAAGATCAAAAGACCAGACTTACAAGTTACCAGGGAAAAAGGAATAATAGAGGTCATAAAGCAAGCAGACAATCCATATCAAAAGAAAGAGGGTCATAAATAATCACTTTCACTGTATGGAAAAGCTAATGAAGGAAATCCATGCATGCATTCCATCTCATGACTTCAGTCCTGGGAGCAGCGTGCCACTCTACTCCTGTTACCAGGAACTGATAAGGAACAGAGGGCTCATGAGAGACAGAAAACAGCACACAGGAATCCTACTGTTAAACATTCCACAACTATGTATGATAAATTAAACAATGAGTAAATAAAATTTTACTTTTAATATTGACTTATAGTATTTAAATACCTCTGAGTGTTTAATTGTTGATGCTTTTGAATTGTGTTGTTGGAGAAGACTCTTGAGAGTCCCTTGGACTGCAAGGAGATCCAACCAGTCCATCCTAAAGGAAATCAGTTCTGAATATTCATTGGAAGGACTGATGCTGAAACTGAAACTCCAATACTTTGGCCACCTGATGCAAAGAACCGACTCATTGGCAAAGACCCTGATGCTGGCAAAGATCGAAGGCAGGAGGAGAAGGGGATGACAGAGGATGAGATGGTTGGATGGCATCACCGACATGATGGACATGAGTTTGCGTAGGCTCTGGGGGTTGGTGATGGACAGGGAGGCCTGGCGTGCTGCAGTCCATGGGGTCACAAAAGTTGGACGTGACTGAGCGACTGAGCTGAACTGAGATTCTTAAAATTATTTTCATGAGCCATGTAATGATCCACAATAGAATTTTAAGATTCACATCATCGTTCAATTTGTTTATTAAAATCCAGTCCTTGATCTAATTGCATTCCTTTTCTTCTTTAAAATACAAATAATGGCACTTAAAAAAACACTAACAATTACAATAGATCCAACCACTGATAACATCAAAGTAGAAATGTTAACTCTGGGATTTGAGTGACTTTCACCAGGGCTGGGATATGTTTGAGGAATAAACAAACCTACTTGCACAATGTTGGATACTTTTAATTTCAAATTACTTTTATCCACACTTTGAATGGCAATGAATATGTGAATTGCATTTTCTTCTAAAAAATGTCCTGGTTTGAATGTAAAACTTTACTTGGAGTTGGCCTCCATGTGCTTATTTGCCATCTGCATTTTCTCTCTGAAAAAATGTCTATTCAGTTCTTCTGCCCATTTTTTAATTGAGTTGTTTTTTGATGTTGAGTTGTATGAGTTCTTTATATATTTTGGATAGCAACTGCTTATCAGTCATGTCATCTGCACATATTTTCATCTGTTCAGTATTCTTTTTTTGGATCCGTGGTTTCCTTTGCTGTGTGAAAGCTTTTGAGTTTAATTAGGTCCCATTTTTCTTTTTTAGTTTTTGGGGTTTTTTTTTGCTTTAGGAGACTTATCCAAAAAATATTGCTTCTATTCATGTCTAAGAGTGTTTTGCCTTATTTTATAGGCAGAACAGGAGTTTTATAGTATCCAGTTTTACGTTTAGGTCTTTAATCCATTTTGAGTTTAGTTTTGGACAGCTACTTATAAAAGAATAAAATTAGAACATTCTCTAACATACATATACAAAAATAATATCCTTTGCTTTTAAAGATAATTTTGCTGAATAGATAATTCTTGGTTGGTGGTTTCTCTTTCAGCACTTTAAATATATCACTCTTGCCCTCTTCTTGCTTGCAGGGTTTCTGAAGAGAATTCTTGTCTTGTTCCTTTATAGGTGTTTATTTTCAGCTTCTTTCAAGATTTTTGTTTTTATTTTTTACAGTTTGAATATGCTATTCCTAGGTGTAGATTTTTTGGAATTTATTGTACTTGGTGCTCTCTGAGCTTCCTTAATCTGTGGCGGATATTTGTCATTCATTTTGGAAAACTCCCAGCCATTATTCATCATTTCTTTTCTTTCTTTCTCTTTCTCCTTCTCCTGATACTCCCCCTGAATGTATGATGCATTTTTATAAATGTCATAGTTCTTAGAAATTCTATTCCATTTTTTCTCTTCTTTTTCCTTTTTGCTTTTTAGTTTGGGAACTTCCTAGTGACATATCTTCAAGCTTGTGTGTTAATTGTTCAGTAGTGTCCAACTCTTTGCAGCCCCTTGGACTGTAGCCCACCATGCTCCTCTGTCCATGAGATTCTCTAGGCAAGAATACTGGAGTAGGTTGCCATTTCCTTCTCTAGGGGATCATCCCAATCTAGGTCTCCTGTATTGCAGGCAGATTCTTTACCTTCTGAACCAACAGGGAAGCCCAAAACAAAATGACCATGGTGCATTGGACAGGAATCAAACCCGAATTTCCAGCATGGGAGGTGAGAAGTCTACCACTGAACCACATAGCCCCTATCTTCAATCTTATGATTCTTTTATTGGCCATGTCCAGTCTACTGGTGAGTCCATCAAAGGCATTTTTCATTTCTCTTACAGTATTTTTTATTTTTTAGCATTTAATTTTGATGCTTTATTAGGGTTTACATGCCTCTACTTTCATTACTTGTTCTTCCATGTTGTCTACTTTCTATATTAGAGTCCTAGGACATTAATAATAGTTATTTTAAATTCTTGATCTGATGATTCCAAAATTTCTGCTATATCTTAAGTCTGGCCTTGATGTTTTTTGTTTGTTTGTTTTTGTTTTGGTGCTTTCAGACTGTTTTTTTGCCTTTATCATGCCTTGTAAATTTGGCTGAAAACCGCACATTGTGTGTTCAGTGAAAGAAACTGAGGTAAATAGGCCTTCATCTGAGATTTTATGCTATCTGGCTAGTAGTTAGGGTATGCTTACAAAACCTGTAACTTTAGTTGTCTGAAACAAAATTTACTGTAGTGTCTATTTTTGTCTCCTTGGATGTTTTGAACTTCCCTAGAGACTCTTATGAGAAGGCAATGGCAAGCCACTCCAGTAGTCTTGCCTGGAACATCCCATGGACGGAGGAGCCTGGTAGGTTGCAGCCCATGGGGTCGCTAAGAGTCAGGCCCAACTGAGCGACTTCACTTTCACGTTTCACTTTCATGCATTGGAGAAGGTAATGGCAACCCACTCCAGTGTTCCTGCCTGGAGAATCCCAGGGATGGGGAGCCTGGTAGGCTGCCGTCTATGGGGTCGCACAGAGTTGAACATGATTGAAGTGACTTAGCAGCAGCAGCAGCAACAGCAGCAGCAGCAGAGACACTTAATTGATTCTGAGGCTTCTGTTTCTTTTATCTGTAATCTTATGTTATTATGAAAGAAAAAGTGAAAGTGTTTAGTTGTGTCAGTTGACACTGTTTAGTTGTGTCAGTCTGACACTCAGTTGTGTCAGACTCTTTGCATCCCATGTATTGTAACCTGCCAGGCTCCTCCAGGCAAGAATGCTGCAGTGGGTAGTCATTCTCCAGGGGATCTTCTCTGACCCAGGGATCAAATGTGGATCTCCCACATTGCAGCAGATTCTTTACTAACTGAGCCACCAGGGAAGCCCATTCTGTTATTATACTGCAGTCTTATTAATGCAATAGTAAGGTGTGGGGGAAAGGGAAGCATTTTATATTTAGGCCTCATTCTTTTAATGTGCTTGTCCTCTGAGCTGTGACCTTCACACCTGTCTTATAGATTTTTTTTTTCCTTTGATAAGACAGGAACAACTAAATGGCTGTGAAGTTGGGTATTTCTCTTCCTGAAAGTTCATTATGCTCTTGTAAAACCTAAGCTGAATAGTTAGGTAACATTGTTTCCCTAAAGGACAGACTTCTAAGGAAAACAGAATGCTTTGGGCATATTTCAAAATGATTACTTTTCCTTCTCTCCCTGCTAAAAATCTGAAGGAATTTTTCTTCAGTTCTGTCTGAAAACATGGTGGGGCTCCTAGAGCAAAGGCTCAGGAAAGTGTGGAGGTTCTTCTAAGGTCCCTTGGAGCTTTTAACTCTTAACTTTAGCTGCACTGGACCTCAGCCAGTTCAGTTTATAGTTTTTGTGTTCCTACTGGTACTGGCTTCTGTGGCAAGGTTCAAGTCCTGGGCTTCTGTTCTAACTGTGATTCTCTGTATTTGTCTGTCTTTCCAGTTAATGGAACAGCATACATAGTGATATGGGCTTAATTCTTCGGTGGATCTAAGAATAATTGTTGCTTTTTAGTAATTCAGCTTGTTTCTTGGGAGGGTGGTAATGATGACCTCTAGCTGTTTATGTGTCAGACTGGTGCTCCTGATTTTTTATAAACTGATCTTATGTCTGGTAACTTTACAGAATTCTCTTATTAGTTTTAATTATTTCTTAATTCTGTTGGCTTTTCTGTGTCACCTAAAAGTAATTACAGTTTTGTACCTTTCTTCCCAATTATTGTATCTTCTTTTTTTTTTTCAAGCTGCATAGGAATCTTACTTTCCTCAGTGACTGTTAAAGCTCTGTAAATCATTTCTCAGTACAGCAGCCACATAGATAGACTAAATTAAGACCATTTAAGGCCTTCATAATCAGCAGTGATTTTTTTTTATGATTTATAGACTTTTAAGTGATTTGTTTTCCTCAGGATTTAGAATTCTCCCCTGTTGTGTCTAATTTCTCATCCCCACTTGAAGATTCAATGCACTCTTAAAAATTTTTTTTTAAATAATTGGGTTGGACAGTAAGATTCATAGTATCAGGTTAATAAGGTTTTCAAGTGTTTCATTTTTAATTGAAGAATGCCGGTTGAATTATATTTTTATATGTGTATTGAAATAATATAGTTTTTCTTTTTGAGCTATTAATGTGATAAATTACATTAGTTTTCTAATATTAAACTATCTTTGGATTCCAGGGATAAAGTCAACTTGGTCAGGGTATGTTATTATTTTTTACATATTCCTCTGGTTTTGTTCTGTTACTGTATTATGATTTTTTCCTGACTTTTCCAAATGTATCATATAGCTTCTTCCTTTCAGACATTCAAAGAGTTTTTGAAATATTCCTGTCTGTAAACAAAGGACTTTCCTCTAATATAACTGATGTTCTCTCTGTCTCTTTCTCCTTCAGGGAAAAAAAAAAAATCACACTAGTGCTATATTAAAGCTTAATTTACATTTTATTAAGTAGTTTATAGATTCTGTTGACATGATAGTTTCCTGAAATGCTGTGTGTTGATTGAGATCACTATTATTAAGTGGTTAGCTTTCATTGTATCAAATTCTTACAATATCATTTGTGCATGATAGCTTATGGATTTTTTAATGTAATTTGTTAAATTTTAATACCTTTGATGTTATGAAAATGTTTATTAATTTGTTTCACAAATATTTATTACATATCTGTTATCTATCAACTACTATTCTAGATGCTGAGGATGTAGCAGTCAAAACAAATCCCTGCCTTGGTGGAGCATCTTGTTGATATCCTTCAGATATAAGAATGATCTCAGGATATAAATGGGTCTTTAGTGACATTCCACAATTCATACAAAAGAAAATTATTCTTGTTATCTAATAGTCATTTTATGCCTAGAGTCAAGGCTTTGATAGATTACTTTTAATCAATGATAAAAAAACAAATTTGACCTCTTTACTGCTTGGACCATATTTCATTGAAAAACTATCTTATAGTCTTTTTTGATTACAGTTTGTATTAATATGACATATTCATTTATAATAATAATGAAATGTAAATAATTCTACCATAAAATTATTTCTGTTGTGGGTTCATAACTATTTTTCAAATGGCTTGAATAAACTTTGATTTTGTTAATATACTGAATGAATTTGTAGCATACTTAGAAAATGTTTCTTAAAAAGTTTCTCCAATAACTAGGGAGTTCCCTAGAGGCCTAATTGTTAGGCTTTGACACTTTCACTGGCATGGCCTGGTTTCAGTTCCTGTTGGGGAACTAAGGTCCTGTAAGCCATATGCCATGGCCAAAAAAAAAAAAAAAAAAAAAACAAGCCAGCAAGTAGAAATAAGCATTTTATTTTATGATGGGTTAATAAATGGATTTTTAAAATATAAGGAATGGTATAATCATTTTGCCTTAAATTCAGAGTATAATTAGAACTAATAAACTGAAGTACTTATGAAATTTATGACTTTCGTACATTTACTTGTACATTTCAAAGAGTTATATAATACACAATGAATACACAGAAGAACCATTCAAAAAAGATCTGAATGACCTGGATGACCATGATAGTGTGGTCACTCACCTAGAGCCAGACATTTTGGAGTGTGAAGTCAAGTGGTCTTTAGCAAGCATTACTATGAACTCAGTGGAGGTGACGCAATTCCAGCTGAGCTATTTAAAATCCTAACAGATGATGCTGTTAAAGTGCTGCAGTCAGTATGCCAGCAAATTTGGAAAACTCAGCAGTGGTCACAGGACTGAACAAGATCAGTTTTCATTCCAACCCCAAAGAAGGGCAAGGCCAAAGAATGTTCAAACTACTGTACAATTGCATTCATTTTATATGCTAGTAAGATTATGCTCAAAATCCTTCAAGCTAGGCTTCAGCAGGGTGTGAACCATGAACTTCCAGATGTTCAAGCTAGATTTAGAAAAGGCAGAGGAACAAGAGATCAGATTGCCAACATTGCTGGATCATAGAGAAAGCAAGGGAATTCCAGAAAAGTATCTATTTTTGCTTCATTGACTATCCTAAAGGCTTTGACTGTGTGGATCACAACAAACTGTGGCATATTCTTAAAGAGATGGGAATTCCAGAGCACGTTACCTGTGTCCTGAGAAATCTGTATGTTGGTCAAGAAGCAACAGTTGGAACTGAACATGGAACAACTGACTGTTTCAGAATTGGAAAAGTAGTACGACAAGGCTGTATACTGTCACTCTGCTTATTTAACTTCTTTGCAGACTACATCATGTGAAATGCCAGGCTGTATGACACAAGCTGGAATCAAGATTTGGGGAGAAATATCAACAACATCAGATATGTAGATGATACCACTCTGGTGGCAGAAAATGAAGAGGAACTCAAAATCCTCTTGAAGCAGGTGAAGGAGGAAAGGGAGCTTGAAACCGGCTTGAAACTCAAATTCAAAAAACTAAGATCATGGCATCTGGTTCCGTCACTTTGTGACAAATAGATGGGGGGAAAGTGGAAACAGTGGCAGATTTTCTTTCTTGAATTCCAAGATCATTGCCTATTGTGACTGCAGTCATGAAATTAACAGACCTTTTCTCCTTGGAAAGAAAGCTATGACAAAGCTAGACAGTGTATTAAAAAGCAGAGACATCACTTTGCCAACAAAGATCCATCTAGTCAAAGCTACAGTTTTTCCAGTAGTCATGCATAGATACGAACATTGGACTATAAAGAAGGCTGAGTACCAAAGAACAGATTCTTTTGAACTGTGGTGCTGGAGAAGACTCTAGAGTGTCCCTTGGACTGCAAGATCAAACCAGTCAATCCTAAAGAAAATCAACCCTGGATATTCATTTGAAGAACTGTTGCTGAAAACTCTAATATTTTGGCCACCTGATGCCAAGAGCCGACTCATTGGAAAAGATCCTAATGCTAGGAAAGATTGAAGGTAAAAGGAGAAGAGGACAGCAGAGGATGAAATAGTTAGATAGCATTACTGACTCAAATGAATATGAATTTGAGCAAGCTCAGGGAGTTGGTGATGGACAGGGAAACCTGGCATGCTGTAGTCCTGGGGTCACAAAGAGTTGGACACAATTTAGCAACTGAATAACAAGAAAATAGCAAATTAAATCCTAAATAAATGTGTACCAACTATGTATAACATTGTTTATCACTGCTGACACAATTCCTAGTTTAAAATATAGAGAAAATCATTGGTAATCCAAAAATTGCCAGAGTGATTTCAGAAATCTTGGTACCCAGAGCATGGACACTGTCTTCTGGTAGAGGAATAAACTTGACTGCTTGTACAATGTGAGAAACCTCTGAGATGAGATTGGCTTTATTGATGGCTTGGACTGCAATATAGAATTTGGTGCCATTTTCTATTCTAAAAGGTTCTGGCTTAAATTCAAAATTTTCTTTTGAGCCGGCCTCCTTAGGTATTAGATTAGAAGTATTCACTAAAGTCGCATTGTCAAAATCTTCTTGGAGATCCATGAAACTCTTACTTATTCTTATAACGTAGCTGTTAGCTGGAAAATAAATAGATATTTCATGTATGTTAGGATCACTAGCATGTCTTATTGCTATCACATCAGTTTATATTTAGGGGTCCATCAGGAATGCACACTGGTTTTTTTGTCTGGTTATTCCATCTTCTTTAAGAACACATATATGAACAGTTTTTTATCTAGTTATCTAATCACAAAGAATTTAATTCAGAATTGTATGCTACTAAAAATGGAATCTAGATTTAAAAATAGAAATATGAAGAACTGAGTCTACGTTTGATTTAGAACAAGAAACACAATAATGTTTGAGTATAGTAATGACATTCAGTAACATTCAATACGCTTTGTCTGTATTATTTTTCATTAAGCTGAGAAAGGGAGTACTAGGATGTATGAGTAAGAAAGTAGATAAGTAGAGTGGGAGCCAGGGATAAAGACAAAGAGCAAAGGAAGGCAGAGAATTTAGAATGTGTACTAAAAATTAAACAAGTTTAGGAGCTAGGCAGACTTTAATTTGCACCTTAGTTCTACTGTCTAGCTGTAACAAAGAAAAAATTAATTAATCTTTCTTACCTTAGTTTTCTTATCTGTAAAAAAGAGAATCAGTCATTCAATTCAACAATTACTTATGGAATTTTATATATGAACATTATATAATATAATGTATAATAATACATGAAAAATGTTTAGCACAATGTCTGGAACTTAATAAATGTTTGCAATATTAGCTATTATTATTGTTATTTTATCAAGAAAGGAAAGAAAGATGCTGACAAATGTTTCATTCAAAATGCTTTTAGAAATCTACATGAGCAATAGATAAATATATTTTAACATTATAAAATGCCATGAATAATAAAACATAAAATATCTTTTTTTTCAGTGAAAACTATTTTTTCATGAAATATTGAATATGTTCTAAGTATGTGGTGAGTAGCTTAAATTTATTGTTTGATTTTAAATTCAGGCCCTATGCCTTAACATTCAGGTCTTTTAATAAATAGGTCCTATGAAACTGATCTACTCCATTACTCTTCACATCCTCTCTGCATTTAATTTCTGCGTTACTGTCCATCCATCCCTTATTTTAATTTAAATATTTCATTGTGATATTTTGCTTTCTTGACTTTGATCATATTATTTGATTCCTTTTCTCCCCGACCTGAACCCCTGGAATGTGCCTCCCTCTCCCTATCTATGCAAACTGTACTTATTCTTCAAGGCCCACCCAACAGGAGGTCCAGTTTCTTAATGAAGTCTTGGTCATGTATTTTATCCCTTGGTAATGCTCTTCCTGAACTCTATTGCATGGAATTTAGTTTCCCAACTTTATAGAGGTTCAGTTTATCTTTCCAATTTGAATGTATTATTCTTTAGGACAAAAAATATGTTTTATACTCCTTTCGTATGAACTAGAGTACCTGGTACTGTGTTTGGCATGTATTTGACACCCTTAATTACTTCTAGGCCCCAACAGACATGAAAAGGTGTTCAGTCTTAGCAATCATCAGGGAGATGCAGATTAAAACTACCTCACACCTGTCAGAACATACATTATTAAAAAGACAACAAATAACAAGTGTGGCGAGAATGTGGAGAAAAAGGGAACCCTCTCATCCTGTTGGTGGGAATGTAAATTGGTGCAGCCACTATGGAAAACAGTATGGATGTTATTAAAATAAAAAATAGAGCAACCATATAATTCAGCAATTCTGCTTCTGAATATTTTTCTGAAGAAAACAAAAACACTAATTCAAAAAGATATATGCACTACCATGTTCATTGCGGTATTATTTACAATAGCCAAGATATAGAACAACCTAAGTATCCACTGATAGGTGAATGGATAAAGAAGATGTGGTGTGCGTACAAGCAAACCTGTAACAGAATATTACTCAGTCATAAAAAGGATGAAATCTTGTGTTTTGTGACGTGAATGGACCTAGAGGGTATTATGCTAAGTGAATTAAGTCAGATAGCTAAGATGAATACCATATGATTTCACTTATATGTGGAATCTAAAAAACAAAACAAATGAACAAATATAATAAAATAGAGATAGACTCATAGCTATAGAGAACAAACAAGCATTTGCTAAATGGGAGGTGAGTAGGGGAAATGAATGAAATAGGTGAGGCAGATTAAAAGGTACAAATTTCCAGTTACAAAATAAATGAATCATGGGGATGAAATGTATGGAATGGAGAGTCTAGTCAATAATACTATAGTAAATTTGTATGGTAACATGGTAACTAAACTTAAAGTGGTGATCATTTTGTATTGCATAGATATATCAAATCACTATATTATATACCAGGAACTAACATAGTATTGTAGGTCAATTATACTTTAATAAAAAGACTACTTTTTGGCCAAAAACAGTTATTCAGTTGATGCCCAAAATGACTAAATTAGTGGATCATAAAATATTAAAGTTATATCTACATGTTTTAGTATTTCTAGGTCATCTAGTCTGATTTGCATATATGACTGGTATGGAAATTGGGTCACGGTAAACTTAAGTTTATCACAGATCCCTGGTGGCTCAGATAGTAAAGCTTCTACCTACAGTGTGGGAGACCCGGTTTTGATCCCTGGTCAGGAAGATCCAGGAAGGAAGGAAGGAAATGGAAACCCACTCCAATACTCTTGCCTGGAAAATCCCACGGATGGAGGAGGCTGGTAGGCTACAGTCCATGGGGTCACAAAGAGTCGGACACAACTGAGCGACTTCACTTTCACTTTCAAACTTAAGTTTTTCATTTGATATTATAAAGATAATTATTTATTTTTTTGATACGGTTACTACTTCCGTTTGTAATGCCTAGGGGTAAAATCTGATAGAACTACATCTTCCTATTTGTTACCAGGAGAGAGGGAGATCAGATCCCACCCGTTTTAGGTATTTGAGGTTAAACACAGTGCAGTTCTTTCTTCCTCAATGTATGTATGAAATAATTTCTTCCATCTTTTAGTTTCTATAATCAGCATAAGGGACATTTATTATGAATCCAGTCTTGATCTAAAGACTTGGTCTTAACTGAATTCAATTTTAGAATTAAACATTTAGTCAGATAATTTCATTTATGGATTTCTAAGTGGCAGTATTTTTTATTTTCACTATATTTTTAATAGTCAAGTGTATTTCAGAAGCTGTCATGACAAGAGTCTTAGTATTGAAGTACAAAGAGCTCTTCGTAGGTATTTTATGTTTCTTTTGACCTTACAATGATTTTTTGTTGTTGTTGTATAATAATGATAAAGAGATATGTAGCTACATAGGACATGAAAGATTAAAAAGCATTGTTTCTTTTGAGAGAGCCTATAGTAAGGGATGTATTATAACACAAGGGAAAGAACATTTAAAGTGACTTTTCAACACTAACAACCTCTGAGATATTGTCTGTTGATATGCATTTTGCTTTCATTTTACCACCTTAAAGGGAAAATAACAAGATTGGCTTTACCCTTTGAGAATCTGCTAGTCTAGCACAACACTGGAATATGATAGGCATTCAATAAACACTTATTTAATTCAGTTAAATTTAAAGCAAAGCTAAAAGTGATTTAAGCTTTTAAGAATGTGGGCAATTTATTATGAGAAAGTTACAGTAGTCATGTATGGATGTGAGAGTTGGATTATAAAGAAAGCTGAGCACTGGAAAATTGATGCTTTTGAACTGTGGTGTTGGAGAAGACTCTTGAGAGTCCCTTGGACTGCAAGGAGATCAAACCAGTCAATCCTAAAGGAAATCAGTCCTGAATATTCATTGGAAGGACTGATGCTGAAGCTGAAACTCCAATACTTTGGCCACCTGATGTGAAGAACTGGCTCATTGGAAAAGATCCTGATGCTGGGAAAGATTGAAGGTGGGAGGAGAAGGGGAGAAGCTTGGATGGCATCACCAACTCGATGGACATGAGTTTGAATAAGCTCTGGGAGTTGGTGATGGACAGGGAGGCCTGGTGTGCTGCAGTCTATGGGGGTCACAAAGAGTCAGACACGACTGAGTGACTGAACTGAATGAACTTGAATGAATAAGATAATTTGGCCTTGAACTTTAATTCAAACTTCATAGCTAAATCTCTGCCTATTATCCTCTCTCTGCCTCTCTCTCTGGGACATCTTCACTTAACTTTGCTAACTTCTCTCATTCTTCAAGACTTAGGTCAGTAATAGTCTTCCTTGAAAAGCCCTTTAAGTTATACCTTGTGATCTTAATTCTCAACTAGAAGTGGCTATCCAATGGCCTATCTCATCATACTTTGTAAAATTATCTATTTGCAGAGAGTGTCTTTTCCACCTAACTAACTGTTGACAATAGGGATATTTCTTACGAACCTAACAACATTTGAAAATTAAAAAAAAGGTCAATGAATGAATGAAATTGTTCAAGTACAGTTATACATAGAAAAAATTTTCCCTGTTAGGGAGAAAGGAATGCAACAGAAAGCTGTTAGATCAGTCTTCTTAACGTAATTTCTAAGATGGTTCATATTTTGAGAGGCAGTTTGGCACAACACGATCTGATGAGAGTGAGTTTAACTACTAATTTATTAAATATAGAAGTAATTTGGGGCAGTTCATTATCTCTTCAGGCTTAAGTTTTCACATACGTAAATAGATGACCCATAGTAGACCATCTATGCATGTTATTTATAACTAGGGCATTAGAAAATTTTTAGCAAATGAAAGCCAATGTATGTAATATTTTAAAATGTAATATCAAACTTACCTTTTCCTTTATCTAGGACATTGCCAGGGGCTGTCCATGAAAGTTGAATATAATCTTCTTTGAACTTAGCCTTAAGATCTGTAATTTTACTGGGTGGGAGCACAGAAGGGTGATTACCAGGAGGAGGAGGAGCTCCTGATACAGTAAATGACCCTCCAGAGGTTAGTCTGCTAAAGTCTTCTATTTTAACTTTTGCCAGGTCATCTTTGACTTCAGGTCTGGGTGGGTTCAGTATAATTTTACCTACCAAAAAAAGCAATTTTGTAACTTTTCACATTGTGATATCTTTTCTTATCTTGTAATCTCACTTGCAGCTGTAGATAGTTAATGTTGATTGATAGCAGCCATTGAAAAAGTAGCAGCTTTTAGTGAAAAAAAAAAAAAGCTTGTTTTATTGGTGTCATTTTAAATGTGATGGGGAGACATTATGGAGTGTTAGTCCTATCATTTAACTTATCTGTCTTACTTCTTGGTTCTAAATTCTCCAAGGACAAATATGGTGCCTTACTTATTTTTGTAGTTCCAACATCTAGCAAAGTGCTTGCCACAGTAAATTTTTTTCACTATAAATGAAATGAACTCAGGGAGATGTAAACAAAGCATGTTGTAAGTATAGTCCTATGCTAGTTCCCTTATCATAAATATGGTTTTGAAACAAAGAGATGATTATATAACTATATAGTTAGGTTTTCCATGGTTCCTTTTATTTTGAATGCTTGCCACATTAATTTACCTAAATAAATGACGCATTTCTATTTTAATGCCACTTACCATTTTCAACATAGCCTGGAACATACAGAGCTTTGTTCTGTTGTCTTAAATTTAGCCTAGCCATGTTGTTTCTTGCCCACGCATGTACTTTTAAACTGTATCTACCATCTTCATAGTAATCTGTAAAATATCTTGAGTAGATGCCATCATTCTTGACAGTATCAGCACCTTGATATTGAAATTTTACATTAGACACACAACAAAGTAAAATATGACAATATCAGCTATTCATGAGCCCTAGTGATGGAAGTTCTTTTGGGAGATAGTATAGCACAATTTTTTAAAATATATGAACCCTCGAATCAGACTACTTGAATTCGAAGCTTGGGTTGACAGCTTGCCAAACTTTGACTTTGAAAAAGTCTAATTCATAGTAATCATTAAGTTAATATTAGCTATTATTATTTCATAAGAGAATCCTAACAAAAAAGGATAATATAACTATACTGGAAAAAGATATGCAAAACACTGACACTAATAAAAATAAAAAATTACTGTGCTCTAGGAAAAAATAAAAATTATTTTTTTATTTTACATGGAAAAAATAAAATTACTTATAAATTCAAAGAAGATAAATGTACTCGTGTCTATACCTAGACAAGGTAACTAAGTAAAAAGTTAAAAAGCTTTAAAAACATTAAAATTAAATTTAATTCACTTAAAATATGTTTCATTAGCATATATAGGAAATAATGACTTCTGAGGCATGTGACTGTAGTAGGATTTTAAGTTCAGTGGAAGTTGATGCAGATTGTTATTACCTGCACCATTGTCCCAGAGCTCCAATGTTACTTGATGTCCATCTTCAGTTTCTATAATGGCAGTTACATTGATTCCCAGTACAGGCAAAAACCCTTGACTGACTTGTGCATAAACAATCACTGGGCTAGGGTAATGTGCTGTATTTTGACTCATGTGAGCAGTTGCAGTTACTGGGGGTGTAGTAGGACTTCTTGCTCGAGTGGTCACTGTCACTGTTAGCATTTGAGGGCTGACATGATTATTTAGAAGGCTGTAAGTCCAAGTACCTGTCTAAAAATTAAAAAAAAAAAACTATTTGAGAGTTTTTGTAATATTTTCCTACTCCCATGTGAGATGTTATTTTCATTTTTTTCCTTAAAATTGGTTGATAAAGCATGGAGAAAATAAAAAATATTCTTACCTCTGCAATGCCGGGTATTCGCAGACGAGCAGACCGAATATTTAACTTATCTTCTTTGAAATCCGAGGTTTTATATTTCTTTCCTTTTGGATCTTGGAGAACAATTTCTGGCTTTTGTATTGTCCATGTGACAACAAAGAAAGTGTCATTTCCAATTGTACTGTCTATGGGCACTGTGCCATTTACTCTTTTCCTTCCTGTAATTTTCAAGGCTTTGCTTTCCAACTGTTACACAAATATAAACAACAATCACATGAAACTGATTTGTTATTCCAGTTATAACATTTCAAAGTTTAGTCAGTTCAGAGTAATTCTAAATGTACTTTTAAAAGATTTAAATTAAAATAGCTAAATTATTTTGAAGAATTTTGCAAATAAAAAGCATTTATATTGATAAAAATAGAAGAATCAAAAGAAAAAGTGTCTGTAAATATTACATAAAGCAAATTCAATAAGGACGTTTTCTGGACACCCAAAATGTTTTCAGGCAGATAAGTTATTTATTAGAGAAAGAAATTACTATTTAGGATAATAAAAATTTGTTACAAGTGTGAAAAGGCAAAGAATTTTTAAAAAAATACCGACCTGAATAGCCTGCTGAGTGATGCTTCCACTTCTAGATGAAATTCTACTGAAAGCATTAGTAAGGCCGTTTATGTCTCTATTGGCAAAAAACCGATATCCTCCTAAAATGGAATTTTGTTTACTTTTATAATCTAATTTTATTTTATTTAAAAAAAATTTTATTTGAGTATAGTAATTCACAATGTGTTAGTTCAGGTATACAGCAAAGTAAATCAGTTATACAAATACATATATCCATTCTTTTTTAGATTCTTTTTCCATATAGATCATTACAGAATACTGAGTAGAGAGTTCCCTGTGCTATACAGTAGGTCTACACACACACACACACACACACACACACACACACACACACATATAGTAGAGTTTATATATCAATCCTGCTCTCCCAGTTTGTCCCTCCCCTACTCCTTTTGCCCCTGGTAACCATAACCATAAGTTTGTTTTCTACATATATTACTCGATTTTTGTTTTGTAAATAAGTTCATTTGTACTAGTTTTTTAACTCCACCTATAAGTGATATCATATGATATTTGTCTTTCTCTTACTTCACTCAGTTTGACAATCTCTGGGTCCATCCATGTTGCTACAAATAATATTTTTGTTCTTTTGTATGACTGCATAATATTCCATATTGAATATTCCATATTGAAGGCGGGAGGAGAAGGGGACGACAGAGGATGAGATAGTTGGATGACATCACTAACTCAATGGACATGAGTTTGAGTAAGCTCCGGGAGCTGGTGACGGACAGAGAAGCCTGGTGTGCTGCAGTCCATGGGGTAGCAAAGAGTCGGACACCACTGAGTGACTGAACTGACTGAATATTCCATATGATACTAATTTTAAGTGGGAAAATCGTTTGCTATTATGCTCTTATCAATATACTATAAAATACATTTTAAAATCTTTTTAAACTTACAAAAGATTAATTTCCCAGACCTTAGGAACTTTTAGTATATCAGTATCCTAGATATAATGCTACAATAAGTAAACCTTGCTCAAAATATATTAGAACAAAGGAAAAACTGGCCAAAAAAATATTTTTAATCATTAGATTTAAGTGCTTGCCACATTAGTAAAGCTGATGTAATCTCTAAATAATGTTATGAAAATTAAAGATATTTTTTAAACTAGCTGCTTATTTTCTGGTTATATCTAAGATACACCAAAACAATTAGAGAATGACAGTTTAGAATAAATTAAAATTGATTAAATGCAGATAATAAATGATACAGGAGTTAATGAAGAGGGAGATAATTTAGGTCTCAGAAGCTGGAAAAGAATGGATTACAGAGAGCAAGATTTGGTATTCAGGTCTCTGGCTATAGCCTTGGGCAAATAATTTGTAGTCTCTAGGTCTTAACATTTCTTCCTCAATGAAATAGTGCTATCTGAATAGCTACTATAAGATTAAGCAGGTAAGATACTGAGCAAGGATTTTGGAACTGCACTTGAGTAAGTCCTTAGTAACCATGGAGAAAGAAGGTTCATCTTGATGGTACTGGTAAAAGTAATGAGAAATGAATGAAGACAGAAAATGTTGACTAATGTTAAAAGAAGCTAGTATAGGTAGAAATAAGAGAAGTGGGAGTGGGGAGAGGAAAGATATTAATTTGAAGGATGAGGACAAGGAAAGGACAAAGATGAATTTTTTAGGACAGGAAAATTTTGAGCAGTTTGTAGTTTAAGGGGAAAGAGCCCCTAGAATGAGAGAAACTGAAAATGTATGTATTCAAATTCTATTTCAAAGGTTTACCTGTCATAGTTGACAGTGTCTCCAGTTCTTTGGCAGCAGAAGGTCCCAGAGCAATGGTGTGGATGATCACACCACTTTGTTTTACATCCTCAAAGCATAAATTTATTTCTTTATCTTCCCCATCAGTTAATAGTATGATTTCAGAACCAGAAGTACTCTGGTTACTGTGGATAATTGCCTGATAGTGAAAACCCAGATTATTAATTAGATTATATCTAAATAAACTAAGAAGAAACTTTTTCTTTGGTCTTGGAGAAGTCATTATGTATCAGAGTAGGCAAAGGGAAACTTTATATTGTCATTCAGGTTGAGTTGGTTTGAAAATGAGTGTAATGTACAATGGTCATGTAGGTTTCCAAAGGCAGAATGTTAACAGTGTTTTCACATATACACAAACTACCCAAGAGAGAAAAAATAAAATACTTAGAACCCTATCTAACTCACAGTAAATACTCAGTGAATGTTAGCTATTATTATTATCTCAGGAGGTACTTGGGATAGAGGTAGATGACCCAGACAGTTTTGGAAGTTTGCAGACTAGACATTTGTAAAGCTTTGACTGAAGGGCAGTGTGCAAAGTTAAATGATGTGACTTGTGCTTTTTAATTCATAAAAGCTAGTTGATAATTGAAGAATCTCAGAATTTCCTGGAAAAAAAAATGGATGTGTCATGAAGAGTTCATGAATTTATCAAGTATTATAATTTGGAGGGGTATTTTCCCGATTTTTACTAAGAGTAGTGACTAAGGCAATTTACTCAGACAAATTGAGAATAAATTCTAGCTCTGCCATTTGTCAAGTGGAATAGCTAGTGTTTAGTCTGTCATTTATGTATATGAATATAATTTATATTTATAGTAGGGTTCTATAAATAGCTCAGATTCTTTACCAACTGATCAGGGAAGCCCAATAAATAGCTCAGTGTAATCATTACTTTTTTGAACTTCGGAGTAAGAAAGATCAGGTTTTGAATCATGGATTTGCCAATTACTGACTATATGATCTTGAGAAAGATATTTAATTACTATGAAAATCAGTTTTTGTGTGCAAAATGGGCATGGTAATAGTGCCTGACTAAATATTAATGATAACAATAAAGTAAAATTAAGAATGTAAAGCATTTAACGTAGGCACTAATGTAATATGTGCTTAATAAATTTAGACATTTTGTTATGATTCTGTAAGTAAAAACATGGTTTCATTATATAAGCAATTAAGAGGTTTTTACTTCTTTGAATATATTGATGATATGATATAATCTCTTCAGCAATAGAGTCTGGTCAAAATGTTGTAAGAAATATATCAAAGCATATTAAGAAAAACATATATGAATCAATGTGTGCTAACAGTATAACACATTCCCAAAATATAGCACTTTCATATTTTAGAATTGAATAAACATATGTAAGAATTATGATTTTTTAATAGCAATCCTTTCTTGAGTACTTGTTTAATATTTTTATTGAAATATAGTTGATTTACAATGTTATATTAGTTTCAGGTGTACAACATAAAAATTTTCTATTTTGTCAGTTATGTTCTAAAGTCATTACAAAATAATGACTGTTTCCCTGTGCTGTACAATGTATCCTTGTTGCTTATTTATTTTATACGTAGTAGTTTATATTTCTTAATACAGTATTCTTATATTGCAGCCTCCTCTCTCTTCTCCCCACTGATTACCACTAGATTGTTCTCTATATCTGTGAATCTGTTTTGTTATATACAGTTGTTTGTGTTATTTTTTAGATTCAGCATATAATATATAACACAGTTTTTGTCTTTCTCTGTCTGACTTATTTACTAAGAGTAATACCCTGTAGGTCCATCCACACTGTTGAAAATGACAGAATCTACTTTTTTTTTGCTGAGTAATATTCCATTGTATATATGTACATATACATACCTACACACTGTGCTGTGCTGTGGTTAGTCATGCAGTCGTGTCCAGCTCTTTGCAACCCCATTAACTGTAGCCCACCAGGCTCCTCTGTCCATGGGGATTCTCCAGGCAAGAATACTGGAGTGGGTTGCAAGGCCCTCCTCCAGGGGCTCTTCCCCACCCAGGTCTCCTGCCTTGCAGGTAGATTCTTTACTGTCTGAGCAACCAGGGAAGCCCTACGTGCACTACATCTTCTTTATTCATTCATCTCTTGATGAAAACTTGGTTTGCTTTTATATCTTGGCTATTTTAAATGATGCTGCTATGAACATTAGGGGAGCAATTATTTGTCTGACATAGTTCTCACAAATTAAATGATAATAAGTACTATTCTTTCTTTTTCCCCCAAAGAAAAAGAAATGCAAGAAGGCAGAGTGGTTGTCTGAAGGATCATGACCTTAGGTGTCATCACTCATGAAAAATAGAAGGGGAAAAAGTGGAAACAGTGACAAATTTTCTTTCTTGGGCTCCAAAATCACTGCAGACATTGACTGCAGTCATGAAATTAAAAGATGGTTGCTCCTTGGAAGGAAAGCTATGACAAGCCTAGACAATGTATTAAAAAGCAGAAACATCACTTTGCTGACAAAGCTATGGTTTTTCCAGTAGTCATGTATGAATGTGAGAGTTAGACCGTGAAGAAGGCTGAATGCCAAAGAATTGATGCTTTCGAATTGTTGTGCTGGAGAAGACTCTTGAGAGTCTCTTGCACAGCAGGGGGATCAAACCAGTCAATCCTAAAGGAAATCAACCCTGGATATTCATTGGAAGGACTGATGCAAAGAGCCAACTCATTGGAGAAGACCCTGATGCTAGGAAAAATTGAGGGCAGGAGGAGAAAAGGGTGGCAGAGGATGAGATGGTTAGGTAACATCACTGACTCAATGGACATGAGTTTGAGCAAACTCTTGGAGACAGTGAGGACAGAAGAGCCTGGTGTTCTGTAATCCATGGGATTGCAAAGAGTTGGATACGACTTAGCAACTGAACAACTATTTCATTAATTGAAGAAACAGATTTTCTGAGTTGAATAACTCATCCAAGGTCCTTTTACTGGTGAATAATAGAACCACAATCTCAGGTTTGTCTGGGTCTGTAACTTGTGTGTTTTCTTAAACCGATATTCTTTAAAGCAAATATACATCACGAGGAAAGCCAGGAGATGACATTAACTAGTGGCCCAGATAAGAGTAACAGTCCCCACTTTTTAGCTGAGGCAATGAGAGAATCAATGAAGGGAAGGACAGAGTTTTCTGTTTTTGTGACTGAAAGAATATAAATAAACTAAAACAGGGCTGTCTTACATTGGAAGAAATTCAGACGAGTACTGGATGCAGTTGAATATAGTGCTCAAAAGTTGCTTGCAACTTTTGATTTCACAGTTTTTATTTCAATAAACTTCTACCCACGTATCTTGAGTTTGGTACTATGTTTGAGGAACTACCTCTATTTTTGTGATTTTTAATGTCAATTTAATTTTATGAACTGAGATTTTCTTTATCCATAATATAAAAATATTAGTAATCTCTCTCTTCTACAATCTCCTTAACAGCATTATTTTCCCCTCATAGTGATTCAGACTACGTAATGCTAAAGAAAAGAGGAGCTTCTCAGTAAAATCATGATGATTATGTGCTCACAGAATTTTTCTTCTCTTTAATCACTCCTCAGTGCAACTCAGTTTTTCAGGAGTATGGACAATAGAAATTTTTCTAAAACTATTTAAATGAGAGACCTCTAAGCTCATGACACTTGTTCCAAGAGAGCTGGACAAAATTAAAAGGAACAATAAATGTGAGTGATATTTAGAAAAGCATTTTTATCTTACCTGGAATCCTGCTTTGAGCCCCCTACAAATTGAAGTTCCACCATTAGCTTCTTGAGGCAGATTTGCAGTGATCTTTTGGTAAGCATTATCATCAGTTATTCTTGTTAGATGATTTTGGATTTTAGCAACACTGTCAAATGTAACCATCCCAACAAAAGATCCCTTTTCAATAACTTGAATCAAGTATAGTTCTGCTGCTTGATTCATTCGAAAGAGACGGTCTTCCTGTAAGAAAAAAGATGTCTGAACAATTCCTGAATTTCCTCCAATCTTTGATGAAAGACAAAGTTTATGGGTCAGAGATCATGATAATAATTGATTACTCTACTTTAGAGTTTGGCTTCATTATATTAAAAAGAATATTAATGAAAAACTAAAAATTCATCATGCCTTACTTGGAAAAGTCTTTAAAAATTTATACCTTCTTTTTTAACGATAAGGAAATAATTTTAAGATGCACACAAAAATGTTTTTTGCAATATAATTTTTGATAAGAAGTTGAAAAATCACAAAAATATCCAGTAATGGGAAGTTGAGTAAATTATATTATGTGCATATGATACAGTCATTAAAAATTGTGTCATGGAATCATTTTGTTCCTTGGGGAGTATTTAAGGTACAGTAAGTAGACAAATCATTATAAAAAACTGTGTAAGATATCACATTTTTGAGGAGGAAAGACAAATACATGAACAGAAAAAAAAATAGGACTGACATGCTCAGTGGTGGAATTATGGGTGATTTTTGTCTTTTCTCTTTGTTCAGTTGTGTTATTTCCTGTTTGTTAGAACTAAAAGTTAAAAGAATAGACATCATCCATGATACAATAACTTTAACATTTATTTTATTTTAGTATATTATCACTTAGTGCTTGTCCACATAAAATCATAGTACTAAAATTTGTTAGAATAATAAAAATATTTTTTAGTTAGCTTAGTAGAACTGAATCTAAGATTAAATTGTATTTCTATTAGCTTAAATATCTTAATTAGGAGAGCTAACAAATAAATGTCTTACTGAGGACATGCTTCCAGATTTATCAAGTACCAAACAGACTACCCGCTGTTTGGACATGAGCAATGAAAATGTAGGATGAGCTGGTGGATTCATTTCTGTCATGGGAGATGTATTCTGAAAGTCAACAGAGTTCATGATTACATCCCATGTACTTTTGCCATTGCACATTTTGTTTTGTAGGTTTGGAGCTTCTGTATTGTGTGTTTCTTCTGTACAAAATTCAGTCACCTGGAAAAAAAATCAATTGAAAGACAATAATAGGTAACTGATGAAGCATTACGCTCCTTTCCAAACATATAGTTGGCTGTCTTATATGTCCTCCACAGATTTTATCTCCTGACAAGTAAAAATTATTTCATAATCTAACATTCTCACATCCATTTTGTATACTTGAGTGGAGAAAAAGCAAAGTAAAACTGTCAGTATGCACTGGAAAGTCATTTGGTGATTCTTTTAGGTATAGGTAGATCATAACACTGGGGGATGATGATGGCTGACACAACTGCTTAAGTTGTGGGAGTAATGAAATTTCAAGGAAGAATATAATGGACATGAATATTCATTATTTCAGAGCATATTTCTCCTGGGTCTGAGCTTATGCCCTGGGTATAGATGCTATGCAGTATATTTAGTTTATGTTACAATAATTAGAAGGGAATATTATTACACACAAGATATATAGTTAAAGTACAGTATTTATCTCTGAGCCATATCTTATATAGTTAGTTGTGCTACATATTTCAGTTACATGGTTTTCTTTCTTCATTGTTATTTATTTTCCAGGTAGGCAACATGAGTTATCTCCTCATAGGCAAATGCTTTGGAATTTATAGTTTGGTGCAGACAGTGTATTTTAGAATTATTCTCTTGTGTTATGTGATCTGATATCTATTTGGACACTCAATTCTTTGGCTACCTTTGTGGATCCAGAGGCAATAGATTACAATGAAAGATCTAGAATCACACTTCAAATACTCCCAGGAGGGAGCTTTGTTAGGCTGGAAAACAATTTATACTTAAATAATTCATTGGATTTCTTTAGGAGTTTTAGAAAAAATATATAAAGTCTATATTTTTACTCAAGTCTTTCATTATTAATGCCCTAGATTTCACAATTTTAAATCTTATTGGAAATAATAGGCCTTTACAAACCCCTACCCTTAGAAGTCTATGTTACTAGTAATTTTATTTATGAAAACATGCTCCTTTTAAACCTAGAGGTAGTATGCTTTATTTTGATTCATTTTTTCTGATAACTTCATAGGTTTCATATTTAAAAGTCTTTTTTATGTGTTTGGAAACTTTCATTAAGTAACTATAGTATGCTTACATTAATTAAGTTGAATTTACCCAGAGAAAGAGACAATTCCCTATTATCCAAATATTTTATACATTTAAAAAATGAAAAATTTTAAGTTTATTTTGTACTCACCTTATGCTAAGTACTGTGATCATATTTTATTTCTATTAGTTCTTATAAAAGTAGCCACAGTAACACGGTAAAGTGAATATTATAATTTCCATTTAAAAAGCTAGAGAATTAAATCTTAGATTTAGCAGTTTGCTCTTAGTGATACAGCTTTAAAATGACAGACTGGATTTTTATATCAGCTCTGTCTAACTCCAAGGCACCTGTTCTTCTCTTCTGAGCTTCATACATTTAATCAGATATTTCAAGTCAAACATTAGTTTCAGAACTTGAATTATTGTGCTGTTATTTTTTAATTGGTCAGATTGGTGATTTGTGAACCATTCTGCTTTTGTTGTTCTGTAGAGACAGAGCCATTTATGTTTTCACAATATCACTTTGTAAAACTTAGTGTACTTTAGTGTGGCGGTAATGGAAAACAGACTGTCAGTACTTTCCAAAGCTACTGAATGAATTACTTTGGAAAAGTATTATGAATAACACTTAGAAGAAAAAATTAAAAGTGAAGTTTCAGTTCTAGACACAAATCTACGGAAGTCAATTGACGAAAGCAATGTTATAAGAAATTCTGTGATGCTAATGAGAAGGATTTAAAAGAGTTGGACTATAAAGAAAGCTGAGAACTGAAAAACTGATGCTTTTGAACTATGGTGTTGGAGAAGACTCTTGAGAGTCCCTTGGACTGCAAGGAGATCCAACCAGTCCATCCTGAAGGAGATCAGTCCTGGGTGTCCATTGGAAGGACTGATGCTGAAGCTGAAACTCCAGTACTTTGGCCACCTCATGAGAAGAGTTGACTCATTGGAAAAAGCTCTGATTCTGGGAGGGATTGGGGGCAGGAGGAGAAGGGGACGACAGAGGATGAGATGGTTGGATGGCATCACCAACTTGATGGACATGGGTTTGAGTAAACTCTGGGAGTTGGTGATGGACAGGGAGGCCTGGTGTGCTGCGATTCATGGGGTCGCAAAGAGTCGGACACGACTGAGTGACTGAACTGAACTGAACTGAACTGAATGAGAAGGATACAGTTCTAACTCTGAAGGAAAAACAAAACAAAACAAAACAGAATAGTGAGAAAGGGTGGAATAATTTCCAGATACACACTGACAGGGCTGGATACACAGGACTAAATAAAATAGCTGTTAATTAACTGTCTTAGTAACTTTCTTTATTTCTATTGATATAGAAAATTCAGCTTCCCTAATTAATTTTTTCCAAAGGCTTCCTTTGTGAGACCAGAAAAATAAGGTACTTACAGAATGGAGATTTTGCATAAACATGATGGACTCCTTTGCAGTCTGGGATTTTTCTGGGATGAATGTACATTTTGCTTCATACAGCCCTGTCTGTGAGTCACGTCTGCATGGCCTTGTTATACAGCTGCCTCCCTGGCATTTCTTGAAAACCACATTAGTACCAGTAATATGAGTCGAACATCTATGGTGAAAGAATTAGATTACATTTATACATGAAGGCCAGAGAAGAGAAACTATTAATAAATATTAATATCCTAAAATCATTCTCTCATCATTCCCTATAGACCATGTACCAGCATTACATTTTGACAAAAGTAGGCACCCATTTACCATCAGTTTCAACAAGAACAATGATGTTAGTTTGTATTTATTAATAGTTGTTGCTTGTGACCTTGAGCTAAAGATGGTAATTCCTTACAGGCATGTGGAAATGGAGTTAAGAGACACAGAGGAGTTGCTCCCTAATGGGTAAGGAAATTCAACATTATTCTTACTCTTAAATTTCTTACGTATGCTACATATATAGCATGTATATATTAGACACACATGTATATTGTTATGTAAGTGTTTACATATACAAATATATAAATACAAATATTATGTATATTTGTATGTGAGAGAAGCCCATGCACATTGCTTTGGGAACAGTCTCAAGGATATATAACCCCAAGTGGATGGAGAGGAAAGACACTTATGGAAGAAACATTTAAACTGAGCCTTAAAGGATGAACAAGCATTGTCATGGGAGGTGGTACTGGGAGGAGTTGCATAGGAAGAGGTGAGATTATTAAGTGTCCTGGGTTGAAAGCCTAGTCTGTGAAAGATTCTAGGTGGCTTGGTACACATAAAGCAAACAACACAAAGGCATTTTTCTACCACACCTCTTTTTTCTAATTTTTACCCTAAAGACTTATTTCCTATTACATTGATTTCAGTTGTTCTTTCATACTCATTAACTACTCCATGTGCCTGATAGTTTTAATTTAAATATCTCACCTATTCAAAATAGGACCTATCTGAATCTGCCCAATTTTTTCCTTAAAAAATAAGTCTTCTCACTTATTCTTACGAAAAGTACTTCTTTTCTTTAAGCTCAAGATTAAATGAAAAATGAAATATATTTAACAGGAAGTTGTAACAGTTTAGTATCAATGAAACAGATTCACATTGAAAAGCTATGAATCAAATGGAATGGAATGAAAGATTGGGTAGGAAGTTGAACTCTAATTCTCAGATCTTAAGGTCTAGGTTACAACTTTTTTCTTTCTTTTTCTTCTGATAATTTGTTGTTGTTCAGTTGCTAAGTCAGGTTCAACTCTGTGACCCCATGGACTGCAGCACACTAGACTTACCTGTCCTTCACCATATCCCAGAGATTGCTCAAATTCATGTCCATTGAGTTGGTGATGCCACCCAACTATCTCATCCTCTGTCACCCCCTTCTCCTCCTGCCCTCAATCTTTCCCAGCATCTGGGTCTTTTCCGGTGAGTTGACTCTTCACATCAGATGGCCAAAGTATTGGAGCTTCAGCATCAGTCCTTCCAATGAATATTCAGGACTGATTTCCTTTAGGATTGACTGGTTGGATCTTCTTGCTGTCCAAGGGACTCTTAAAAGTTTTCCCCAGCACCACAATTCAAAAGCATCAATTCTTCAGCATCTTTATTATGGTCCAACTTTCACATCCATACATGACTGTTGGAAAAACAATAGCTTTGACTATACAAACCTTTGTTGGCAAAGTGATGTCTCTGCTTTTTAATATGCTACCTAGGTTTGTCATAGATTTTCTTCCAAGGAACAAACATCTTTTAATTTCATGGCTGCAGTAACTGTCCACAATGATTTTGGAGCCCAAGAAAGTAAATATTGCCTCTGTTTTCACTTTTCCCCCATCTATTTGCCATGAAGTGATGAAACCAGATACCATGATCTTATTTTTTTGAATGTTGAGTTTTAAGCCAACTTTTTCACTTTCCTGTTTCACTCTTATCAAGAGATTCTTTAGTTCCTCTTTGTTTCCTGCCATTAGAGTTATACCATCTGTGTATCTGAGGTTGCTGATATTTCTTCTGAAAATCTTGCTTTCAGCTTGTGATACATCCAGCCTGACATTTTGCATGGTGTACTCTGCATAGAAGTTAAATAAGCGGGGTGACAATATACAGCCTTGATTTACTCCTTTTCCACCGTTGAAACAGTCAGTTGTTCCATGTCAGATTCTAACTGTTGCTTCTTAATCAACATATAGGTTGCTCAGGAACCAGGTAAGGTGCTCTAGTGATCTCGTCTCTTTAAGAATATGACACAGTTTGTTGTGATCCACACAGTCAAAGCCTTTAGCATAGTCAATGAAACAGAAGGTGATGTTTTTCTGGAATTCCCATGCTTTCTCTAAGATCCACCGAATGTTGGCAATTTGATCTCTGTTTCCTCTGCCTTTTCTAAATTCAGCTTGTACATCTGGAAGTTCTTGGTTCACATCCTGCTGAAGTCTAGCTTGAAGGATTTTGAGCATAATCTTACTAGTATGTGAAATGAGTGCAATTGTATAGTAGTTTGAACATTCTTTGGCACTGCCCTTCTTTGGAATTGGAATGAAAACTGACTTTTCCCAGTCCTGTGGCCACTGCTGAGTTTTCAAAATTTGCTGACATATTGGGTGCAACACTTTGACTGCATCATCCTTTAGGATTTGAAATAGCTCAGCTGGAATTCCATCACCTCCTGTGGCTTTGTTCGTAGTGATACTTTCTAAGGCCCACTTGACTTCACACTCCAGAATGTCTGTTTCATGGTGAGTGGCCACACCATTGTGGTTATCCAAGTCATTAAGATATTTTTTTTTGTATAGCTGTTCTCTGTATTCTTGCCACTTCTTAATCTCGTCTGCCTCTGTTAGGTCAATTACCATTTCTATTGTTTATCGTGCCCATCCTTGCATGAAATAGTCCCTTGATATCTCTAGTTTTCTTGCAGAGATCTCTAGTCTTTCCCACTCTATTGTTTTCCTCTACTTCTTTGCATTGTTCATTGAAGAAGGCCTTCTTAGCTCTCCTTGCTATTTCCTGGAACTCTGCATTCAGTTGGGTATATCTTTCCCTTTCTCCCTTGCTTTTCACTTCTCTTCTTTCCTCAGCTATTTAATACAACCCAATGAATAATGAAATTATTCCCAAATTTTGGTTGATCTTTATTCCAAAGTGTAATACACAGAGGTTGTTCAACATATTTATAGTGCAGCAGGTTGGATTTTACAATTAATTGGGCAAGCACTCAGCCACTGAGATAACCTTTGTTGGCCTAGTATAGAAAATTAAAAAGTCATAAATGAAAAAATTTGAAAACAGATTTGTTCAATAGGATGATACCTTGTTGCTTCCATAGTGTTCTTTCTGGAAATATAGAATGGCCGGTCCATGTTATACTCATCAAATATTCCCCAGCGGAGATGGGCCCACTCATGGACAAATACTCTGCCTATGAGAGAATATTGCCACTTATAATTTGCATTTACATTATAGGTATCCCTGCTTTTTGAAAGTTCGTTTAAACCACTTCACTTTTATGAAGAACCCATCTTACTACCTGTTTTCACTAATGGAGAGAAATTCAAAGAGGATTTTTGCTTTTATGAAAAAAGGCCAAAAGCTAAAATAGTATTCAGCATTTGTTTTGTAGCCAGCAGTTTTACAACAGCACACAAACAGAGCAGCAAGAGCGGTATCATCAAGCTTCTTCTCTGTGCTTAGCATCTCAGTATCAAACCCTGTAGATTTGAACTCTGTCTGTGAGCATCTGTGCTATATCTTGACATATTTTGTATATCTGTTAGCAAGATGTGTTCTCAGGTAATTGCTTCTTGCTGTATACCATTTTGACTTATGAAAGGTTGCATAGGAACACTTCTTTTGGATAGTGGGGAATCCTGTATTTAAATCCAATCTCCTTATATTTTAAGTCTCCCTTCCCCACATCATCTAATTCAGTCAAGGAAATCTACAAATTGACAAATTTCATTAGTCCAAAGACATTTAAATGGGTTTGTATCAATAAATGGCTTTTTAAAATTAAATTTATTATTAAACACACATAAAAAAGAAATATAATTAGTTGAACATAATCAATAAATTTCCAAACAAAGGTATTTTTTCCTTTAAAAATTTTAAAAATACCATCAATCACAATGTTACATTTGTTTCCAGTGGAAATAAAAATAGAAGTATAAAATAGACAACCCTACCTCGGGACCCATAGATGCGGAAATTATTGGTCAACATGAAGTTTGGAGTAAAATGTATATATTTTCCTTTTTCTCCACACCTTCCATATTGAAGTGTATAGGGATCATCTCCATGTATTAGATAAGGGTTAGCAACTATGACATCTGCCTAAAAAGCAGAACAAACCAAAACAGACTCCAAGAACAGTAGAAACAAGGAATTTTTCATCTAAAATAAGACTAGCAAAATTGCTAATTTAAATAGTAGTCATTAGTAATTACTCAAAAATTGTGAGTATTAATTTTTAAAAATTACAGGAAGAAAGACATAGTTTAGGAGCTAAATAAAATTCCCTACCTGATCATATGATTCTTGTTTTGGTATGAAGTACTCAGATTTTGATTTCCAGGTCATTGGAATTAAAATTCTCACATTCCTGAAATAAACTCTTCGTTTGGTGGCATGAAACAGGTAAGTAGAAGCTTCAGTTACCATTTCCTGACAAAATTAAATTGTAGTAACGGTTTATTTGTAATTACCTTGTAGTAACAATTTCACAATGAACTTGAGAGTATACATACAAACAATAAGCACCCTTCCCCAAATATTTTGTAAAAGACTAACTGAAAAATAGATTATATTTTACTTTATCTCTCTAGTCTGTAGACTCTCATTTTTATATACTAAGAAATTAATTCTTTAGTTTTTACCTATCCATATCTGCATCAGCATGATGGGTTGGAGCTGAGAGTGAGGGTGTTAGGTGAGATATAAAGGTGATTTAGACTCGGAGTCTGTTAGCAAGTTGCTTATTGAACTGAACAGAGATGCTTAAAATTGGGCTGGAAGTTTGAAGTTTGGTAGATTTTAGATTGCTGTTAATTGAAAAAACTATTTTGCTAGATTCATTTTGAGTTATCTTCTCATATGGAATATGCTCATAAAATGCAAAGTTTTACCAAGCAGTAATTTTCTAAAAATACGTAGTTTATTGGCTTCAAATTCTGGTTTTGCTACTTATTATATGATTATACAAATCACTTAACTTCTCTCAATTTATACAAAGGTAATTAGTAATCTAAGAATTTCAAAATTTTCAGAGTTGAACAAATATGAAGAATGAAAAAAATTGAAAAAATGTATAAGATAATGAACTCTAGAGAGGGTTTAAGTGTAGGTTGGTTATTTAAACCTTATAAAAGTCAACTTCATAAACATAAAACTTGAAAATCATTCTGCAGTAGCTTGAAGGTCTTTATTTTAGCTTAATGTGTTGAAAAAACATTAGTACTTTGACTTTTATAATACATTAGGGACTGACTAATGCTACTAATATATGATACATAATATTTACACTAAGCAGATATGAATCTTGACAGTTTAGATACATGCCATATAAATGATGAGTATTGTCCAAGCAGTTTTGGAAAGTTATAACTCTGTGTGAATGTTTATGACTAAGTAACATGAGTTGAAAATACTTAATGAAATAAAAATAAATGAATACATATTTTATCTTACCTTTATGTTTTCAATGAGTTTTTCATCTTCTGGCACACTGGGGTTAATTGCAATGACAATGCCATCATACCCATTGTTAATCAAATTTACCATTGAACTTTTCATTCCAGGCAAAAGATGCAAAGTTAGGAACAGAATAACATTCAGACTGAGCACCATTTTTGCATATGTTACAATAAACCTATTGGAAATGTAAGGAGAGTATTTATGTATCTGTTAACTCAGGGATATAACTCTAGGCCCAAATGTTTGCATAAATATATTATTAAAATACCTCCATGAACTTCCTTATCTTATTGTAAAGAGTTCTTTAATTGTTAAGTAGCAATTAACTTAATTGCTAAGTCCCTAATGGGAACTATGCTGACCATCTGTGGATTACTGTTTGTGTAGTCATCATCCTTATCACAGTGGTCATTCATTATCTTGATTGTCATCACCATCAAATAGTATTAGACAGTTTCCAGTCCTGGGATCTGTTTGCAGAAAAGTGCTCTGTGGAAGGATAAGGAACTGAAATGAAAAGCACCATTTTGAAATGAAAATAACATGAAAAAGACATATTTAAAAAACAAAACAAAAATGAATAAATGAACTAGAATATGAATGGCAGTGAATTAGGATTTCTATTTTTCCTTTAGATGGGATTCATATAAGCACAGTGGTTGGGAATAGCTGTGGGTCAAGGGGGAAATGGGTTTTTTAGTTACTTTCTGTGATGACTATTTGTGTAGTTCAGTTTTCAAATAGCACTGAATACTTTATAAGTCTTCATATAACTTGAAAACTTAATATGCTTCAGTTAGATTTCTTTTTTGGATTGAACACAAATCTGCCAATATTCCTTATCTGGAAATAGTTGTACACATAGCATTGTGAGCTGGCTTCAGAGTCAGATGAATCTAAACCTGACCCTTGCTTTGGTCATTTAGCAGTCATGTGAGTTATAGCTGATGCACAATATTATGTAAGCTTCAGGTATACAGCATAGTGATTCATAATTTTTAAAGGTTATATTACATTTATGGTTATAAAATATTTTCTACATTCCTTTTGTTGTACAGTATATCCTTGTAGCTTATTTATTTTATACATAGTAGTTTGTACCTCTGTTATACTGAAAGATTTATGGTCTGCTGAAACATTTTCATTTTCAGGCCCAGAGGACTCACCAGTAAAATAACCACTCTACACTTTAAACAAGAAATAAGGAAGGTTATTATGTTAGTAGTAATGTATGAGGACAAGTAACATAGAGATAGTTATATATGCATATATATATATATATCCTTGTAGCTTATTTATTTTATACATAGCCATTTGTATCTCTGTTCTGCCAAAAGATTTATGATCTGCTGAAATACTTTCAGTTTCAGGTTCAGAGGACTGACCAGTAAAATAACCGTTCTACTCTTAAATAAGCAAGAAATAAGGAAGGTTATTATGTTAGTAATAAGTTACAGTATGAGGACAAGTAATATAGAGATAATTATATATACATATGTACATCACCAGGGGGCTTCCCTGGTGGCTCAGATGGTAAAGAAAATGCCTGCAATGCACGAGACCTGGGTTTGATTCCTGGTCTGGAGAAGAGAATGGCAATTCACTCTGGTATTCTTGCCTAGAGAATTTCATGGAGCCTGGCAGGCTCCAGTCCATGGGATTGCAGAGTCAGACATGACCAAGTGACTAACACACACACATATACATCACCACAAGAAATATGTGTGTGTGTGTGTGTGTGTGTGTGTATACACACATACATCGCCAAATTAGAAAAGCTTCTACATCTAGTTATCCAGTTTGGAGTGCCAGTTGGAAGATCCACAAGTAGTATAGCAAGAAACAAATATATACATCACCAAACTGGGGACATACCTACATCCAGATTCAGGCAAGGCTGGAAGACCCTGGAATAGCACTCTGGAGTCCTCAATTGAGAGGTCCAGGCAGTGTGTCCACCCACAAGTGAGACTTCAAGGTGCCGTCCAAAGGAGTCCTGCTTTTATTGTCAAATCGCAAGCTGATAATCATCATGTAAATATACAATTCTGACTAATAAGCTAAATGCTGGCATCTCTAGTCATAAGTCTCAGAATGTTCACTGATTCCTGGGAGCTGGCCAGATTCTCAAGGCTCAGGAAACTTCGTGACTCATTCCATTCCTTATGACTTATTCCCTTCCTTATCTGTTTGTTCCCAAGAATTGCTTTCACCATTTCTGCTGATTATCAGCTTGTTGTGTAACTCCTTTCGGGGTCTCTGTTCAAAGGCCTATCATTGCCTCTGAAGTCTGAACAAGACTACTTTTATTACTTTCCCCAACATTCAACCTCAGTATTGTTTAGCCTGAAGAGCATAAGAATAAGGAAAGGTCTCTCTAGCAGTTTTTCTAATGCATTAAGATAGATAACATTTCCATATGGTTAATAAGAACAATACAATCAAGATTATCAACAGTGGGTTAAACAATGCAGAAAACAGTTTGGCTCAGTGGGAGACTGAGAAAAGAAAATGTCCCACCAAGAATGAGAAGTATGCTTTTGGACATTAATACCTACATCCATTAATTTGTTAGCTGCAGTAATAGTAACAAAAAAATGTTCTAATAAAGTACAGTGATGCTTATTTATAAATTCATTTTATAAATCTGTAATTCTTTTCCTTCTTCTAGGATTTTATGTAGGGGTTCTAATGGTAAGCTAATATTGGGGACAGGTAAAGTAGGAATTAACATTTGAGTCCACAGCAGTGGTTCTTTTACAGAAGAGCAATAATATGTGGTTCCTTTCTTATATAAATGTTTGCTAAACATCCTGAAAATGGAACTTCTAGCTGATAATTAGAGATTGTGTTTAAATCATTGATTATAAAACAAATAAATTGGAAAGTGACTTCAAGAAGTATAAAATCTTATAAAATAAGATTGAGGAAAAATAGTCCATTTGATCAAGTTTTCTAATAAGCAGAATTCCCAGATACAAGAAGTCTGGCCACAAAGTACTCCCTTGGCAGCTCTCTCACAGTCCGTTAATAAGTGGGTGTTGTTATTGAAATCCAAACAGTTTTCTTTGAAATGGGGTAACAAATATTCTTTTCCAAAGGCAATGGTACATTATAATGCAATATAGTCCCAATGCACCAAGCATTCTCACATCTAGCTTTTCCTTCAGGGATTAATATATAATGATCTTTAGGTATTCGTTCTTTAAATATTTTTCTCTAAGCATATACATTGGTAGACATTAATATTTCTTGGGCTTTATCCTTTTGAACAAGGTAATACAATGTTTGCTTAGAACACATAGTCCAATTAAACTTTTGAATTATATGTACAGTTTGATCTAATCTATTAATGAAGCATTGAACAATTGTAAGAAACTTTTATCATAATCTTAACTAAACTAATATGGTTTGAAAGTAGCAGGTATCCATTTAGCATTAATAGTTAAAGCTTGGGCTCTATCTTTATTAGTGTGTTATAATCTAGATGCTAAAGTCTCTACATTCATAGAATTCACTAAGCCTATCACAGTGCCAGTAGTCCCTAATATAATATCACACCATGCTCATTTTATTTGCATTTAGATGGAATGGGAAAGGTTATATTAAAATGTAGTATTAATTTCTGGTAATGTTGACCTACTTGGGTACATGATTGAGGAATCTTAACAAATGAATGAAATAAAATATTGGATGAGAATCTACGACAGTAACAAGATCCATTGAGGTGCCTCTTCCATTACTCTGTGAGTTATTAAACCATATCAACAAGAAAACTTGTGTTAAAGGTACCTTTTGTGTAATATTTCCATTGTATAGATGTAGAGTAGTAGTGTTTTTACAGGAACTTACAATACTTTATTGGGAAGATTCGCTGGAGGAGAGCATGGCAACCCACTCCAGTATTCTTGCCTGGAGAATCCTCATGGACAGAGGAGCCAGGAAGGCTACAGTCTATGGGGTTGCAAAGAGTTGGACATGACTGAGCAACTAAGCACAGCACATAAAACTTTGTACTCATTGTTCAACAGTATTGTTGGAAGGAATTTCTGATATACTACAGCATATTATGGGCTTCCCAGGTGGCACTAGTGGTAAAGAACCCCCTGCCAATTCAGGAGACGTGAAAGATGCAGATTTGATCCCTGGTTCAGGAAGATCTCCTGGAGGAGGGCATGGTGACCCACTCCAGTATTCTAGCCTGGAGAGTCCCATGGACAGAGGAGCCTGGTGGGCTACAGTCCATCTGGTCACAGAATTAGACACGACTGAAGCGACTTAACACACACCCACAGGTTTGTCATAGCTTTCCTTCCAAGTGGAAAGCATCTTTTAATTTCGTGGCTTCTGACATTGTCCACAATGATTTTGAAGCCCAAGAAAATAAAATCTGCCACTGTTTTCACTTTCCCCCCATCTATTTCCCATGAAGTTATGGGACCATATGCCATGATCTTAGTTTTTTGATTATTGTTTTAAGTGAGCTTTTTCATTCTCCTATTTCACCTTTATCAAGAGGCTATTTAGTTCCTCTTCATTTTATTCAATTAGGGTGGTATCATCTGCATATTGAGGTTGTTGATATTTCTCCCCAAAATTTTGATTCTGGCTTGTGCTTCATCCAGCCTGGCATTTCGCTTGATGAACTCTGCATGTAAATTAAATAAGCAGGTTGATGACATACATCCTTGACGAACTCCTTTACCACTTTTGAACCAGTTCTTTGTTACATGTCTGGTTCTAACTGTTGCTTCTTGACCTGCATACAGGTTTCTCAGGAGGCAGGTAAGTTGGTCTGGTATTCCCATCTCTTTAAGAATTTCTACAGTTTGTTGTGATTCACAGAGTCAAAGGCTTGAGCGTAGTCAATGAAGCAGAAGTAGATGTTTTCCTGGAATTCCCTTGCTTTCTCTGTGACCCAATGGCTGTTGGCAATTTGGTCTCTAAATTGGCAATTTGGCAATTGGTTGGCAGTTTGGCCTTTTCTAAATCCACAAAGCTCCAATATTTTGGCCACCTGATGTGAAGAACTGACTCATTGGAAAAGTCCCTGATGCTGGGAAAGATTGAAGGCAGGAGGAGAAGGGGATGACAGAGTATGAGATGGTTGGATGGCATCAGTAACTCAATGGACGTGAGTTTGAGTAAACTCT